CGGTCGGTTTAGAGAGTATTCCGTAGGGACCGCTACCTCTCAAAAAGTCGCTATTTATTATACTGGCTCTCACTACGACAGCGTTGTGTTTTGTGCTCATATTGACATCTAAGATTCTGCCGGGTCAGTTGATATTCCAAGAGCTGAACATGTGCTTGATGTCCTGCCTTTTTGTGGTCACCTGGCCGTTTGTCGATCCTTCCTTCATCAGTTGGCAATAACCCCGGGTGAAAAAGAAGTGTCTGCGCTAAACTCGATGATCCTTAAATACGCCCGCTTTATATCAAACTCAGATTCAGGTAATCATATCATCTGTAGATTTTGCAACGTTGCTTATAACTTCTGCCTCACTTATTCTAGGCCAAAGTGTAATTAATCGATCCAATTTTGAAGACACGGCGCACAAGATTCTGTCTGCTCTCTCTGAATTATTTGACACTAATATAACTGTTTATAGACAACTCAGACACTTTATCACGTGTAAGGTATCTGGGAACAAGAGACTGCATTTGCATCAGCGGCAGCGTACTGCAAATCACTGACTTGTCACCTCCGGCAAAGAAGATTAGAACTGGAGAACTTTTGGGGGTTCAATCTTGTTTCGTCGGATCAACGAAGGATGGTAGTCCGACGAAACTGCTTCTGTCAACACCAGCTACTGACCTCTCTCTCTCATTCCTACTCCTGGCGTAAATGCATCTGATAATTCCTTATTTATTCAGTCTACATTATCTACTACTGTTTCGGTAGCCCAACCTTTGCCCGTTCAATCATCGTCTGCTAATGAAGTCGTAGCCTGTTCTTCTGTGGTGCAATCAGGCTCAGACAATACTGACGATTGCCTTCCAAAAATGGTCTCCTGGAATGTTTCGGGCTGTCAAACACGCGAGAAGCGGAATGGAATTGATTATTGTCTTCATCATGACGGGATTGGAATTGCTTTTCTTCAGGAGGCTAATATTGACGCAGCAAAATCCGATACTAAGAATTATATTTGGTTAACTGGGAGCACTCGTAAAAACAAAAAACACAATTTGGTCATTCTGGTTTCCAAGTGGCACAATGTTAATGTAAACGATATTAATTGCATTGGGTCATTTATCTTGACGGCTAACGAATATTATACAGCTGGCCTTACCACTTACCGTATGATAGTGGTCAATGTGCATGCTCCAAATAAAACCAATTCGACATATTTGGGGCAGCTTGGTGGATTCTATGAGAGCTGCTCAGACAAGGAACTCGTTATTCTGGTCGGTGATTTTAATAGTCATCTTGCCTACAATGACTACTGAGCGAGAGAGAAGCTGTCTTGGGAGGATTACGTTATTTTTTGGTACGGCACAATATGTTAGTTCGATCCATGCGGTCCGACAAGTCACTGTTGTGGACATTGACTAACGGTGTAACACGTTCACAGGTAGATCATATAATAATTCCTTTTGTATCCAAGCATTACATTCGCGACATCAAAGCAAAGAAACCCGTAGATGTCAAAACTGACCATAAGATGATAAACTGGTCTATCATGCTAAACCGAAAAATAGGTGCCAAATCAAACCCTAGATGCAATCAACAATTAAAGCGATTTCGACAGCCTCACTTCCTTCCCTTGGATGAGCCTTCAATCCTGCAACACTCTGATGCTCAATGAGTGTACCACGAAGAGCTCCAGAAGTCACGGTCCGATAAACACTTGTCGGTAAGTAATGCATGGGATGGTCTTGTCCAGAAGACGAGGAAGGCTGCAAAACGGGCCATTTAAATTAAAGGGCGCCTACCACCTGTTCGGGACTACTGGAAACTGGTGGCACTGATATGCAAATATAGGTTCTGGATGTCGTGGAAACCTTCGGTTAAAATATCCGCTAAACTATCTGACGTTACATCTCGCTTGAAACTTAAACTACAGCATTATGACGAGAAAAAATGCGAAGAATTCTTTAAGAACCTTCACAGGTATCCTTACGGAGCCCGTATCAACCGTACTCATAAGTACCTCAAAAAACACCGCAAACGAAAGAGTATAGTGCGCTTCTCAACAATCCCGATTACCAGCTGGAATGCAGTACGTGAAGATCATGTTAACGGATTGCCCGAGCAGATTCCCGAAACTGACGGTCGCTCATTACCAGCGAGCCCTACGCTTGGAGATATACGTCGACTCCTGAGTATGATGACAAATGGGATTGCTAGTGGCCAAGATCGCATACCCACAGAGTACCTGAAGTATGCAAATTCCACTATTTTGCTAGAATTGAAGGATTTGTTAGAAGCTATGTGGACCGAAAATAATCTTCCGAATTCTTGGAAGAATAATCTCATTATTCCGATACCAAAAGTTCCTAACCCGTCGTTGACATTACAATATCGCCGGATTTGCTTATCTAGTTCTGGTTATAAACTCTATGCGATGTGGGTTCTCGAAACGCTTCAAAGATATGTGGGCGATATAGGGCATCATCAAGCTGCATTTTTGTCCAAGCGATCAACCTCCGATCATCTTTTTGTGGTTCAGCGTATACTCCAAGAGCGATGGAATGGTGGCGTTCCAGTAGCTGTTATGTCGTTAGACATCGAAAAAGCGTTTGACATGGTTAACCTCAAATGCCTACCAGCTATACTTAAAGGATAGACGTTGCTCAGCTGTATATATCCAAAAAGGCGAAATAACGTGCCTATGGCTAATTGGGTAAGCAGCTAATATCGGGATTGGCAGCATATTGTCAGATTACAATTAAACTTACATTGCCGGCGCCGGTGGTGTAGTGGTAAGCGTGACTGCTTTCTCACCCCAATGGGTCTGGGTTCAATCCCAGCCGAGGTCGGTGGGATTTTTCTGAGGCATAAAAATCTCTGGTCACGTCTTCCTTCGGAAGGGAAGTAAAGCCGTTGGTCCCGGTCCATGTGTGTTGAATGAATGGGTGCGATATCCTACGCAGGTGTGGAAGCTGCCTTCCTGCACATTCGATTGCCGTCAATGGATGGCAATCGATGTCCGTCGGTGATTGGCACTAGATTGCGGAACAGAGACCGACGTTAAATAAAAGAAAAAAAATTAAACTTACAGGGTGTAAAGAATTAGTTTACTTAAAAACTATGCATCCTTATTTTTCTAGAAAAAAAAATAAAATGGCTTGTGGTCACACACTTATATCTTCAATATCGGTAGTAAACAAAAAAAATAAAAAAAAAAATATCGAATGTCTCCGATTTACTAAAAAAAAATCCAAAAGATACACTGAAGTGCGATGAATTGCCTTATATTAGACCCAAACCATTTTATCGATTTTATCCGATATAATCGAGCTTAAATCTCTAAAAATAAATATTATCGTTTTTATCGTTCACATCTCTATTATCGGGTCACATCCCAACTAACAATTTTCGCAATGTAAACGCTTTACTCATTTCCTTTATACAACCTCAAGCTGTATTCAAATGTTATACGATATGAGGAAACCTTTACTTCACTCAAATGTTCATCAGTGGTGGAAACCAAAACAAACGCCTGGTTGCCAGCCATATCAAAAACATAAGAATTGAACTTAATACAGCGGCACACAACCAAGGTTATAGCGGCACACATCGGCCCATCAGAACACATCGTAATACTTGGAGGCACTCTTAAAAAAAATTGGCGCAATGGATAGTGTGCTGAGCGACCCACCCTTGCGATATATGCAGAGTTATGCCGGGCCAAAGAGATTATGTGTCTGTGTGATACAAAAACGTCTACTAACAATGTCGCTCAAAGAATCATATCAGTGCCAACATTTCAAAGGGGCGTAATTGCATTTGTAAACAATGGCTTTAGCCGTCGATTTCTCGCGAATAAAAGCTCACTCATGAAAAATAATGACACCAACGGGTAGAGGAATGTTTCCTCTACCAGCTAGCATTGTAATTTTGGAGAGGTAAGATTTCATTCGCCAGAAATTGACGGCTAAAGTCATTGTTTACAAAAGCAATTACGCCCCTTTGAAATGTTGGCACTGATATTTGCATTTTATGGAAACCCATAAAGATGTAAACAGCTTTAGCTCATTTGCAGCCTTACGGCAAAAAAAATTAAACTTCTTAGTAAATCAGGATCCCATAATGTTTGTGTATGTACGATTCATGAAAATGTAAATCTAATGTTGAACAGCCTGAAAAAAAATCGAATTTTGTATGATCGCACCTATTTATACGGAACAACTTCTTTGCAATTTACAATCTAGAACAGACTTTTGCCATCTTCGAACGCGCATGAATTGTTACGATACGTCATTATCCGAAACAATATTATTAGAAAAGTTGGAAAAGAAACAAATATTAGAAGCACAGACAAACAGACGTAACACTTCATTGTGTATCTTCGTTCACGCATTTAACGGTTGATTTGAATATTATCAGTTCCGCAAACTACTCGCCGCAGCGCTGGCATCAGAGTATTTGTTTGATTTTTTTTTTTTATTTAACTGCCACAAACTACAATGTGTTGAATCGGAACCTACCTAACTAATAAAAACCAAAGATTTAAGTAAACTAAAGGAGAAAAATCTATACAACTCTCTAATAAGGAAAATCCCAAAGGCTAGGTAGCAATCATAATGAAGTAATGAAATTGGGTTGTTAGCGTTAGATTTTTCTCCTTTAGCTTATTTAAATCTTTGGTTTTTATTAGTTAGGTAGGTTCCGATTCAACACATTGTAGTTTCATTTTTTATACCTGTGATACCATGACTTTTTTACCTAGGGATAAGTACTTAAGGGGGTTAGATTTTGATAAGTTCTTTAGTGGGAATGACACTGATGAAGACTGCACATTGTAGTCGAAATACGTATCTGTCATGGATACCAAAATTAATTAAGTGGAATTAAATGGAAGATAACCTTTTTTGCTGTTTTATTTAAGCATTTCGCTAACAACCCAATTTCATTACTTCATTTCACCCCTTATTTCCCGTAATACCAAATAAATAAAACAAACATATTTATAAAACAATGTCTTTTACTGCTCGGAATAGATAACAAAACAGATTTATTAACAGTATTTGCAATGTCTATGTTTGTCCTGCAATTCCTGATCACCGGATGGAATGATTTGATTCGAACGATTAATCGAAATATCTATATAGCAAAAAGACCCATACCATGTAATCTTTAATTCATCTTTTATGATGAAAATGATATATGGTATTTGCATTTGGAAAATGTAAAACCAGAGTTTACTCTCAATTTTGGAACTCAAGTGATCAAAAATCGAAATATCGTTATTTCGTAATAAAAACAAAAAAAAAACAAATGGCAAAACTTATTTCGGCACTGCCCTTTTTCGCTTCAATACACGCAATGATGTATGAAGATTGCTGTTGTTGTTGCTGTTATTGCCGCTAGAATTATCATTATTGTTGTTCTTCTTATCAAGGTTGCCAGCGAGAGTAGGATCGTAACGTTTGTTGTTATTGGTCACCGCAGTAATCCCTCCACTAGCAGGATCAAGCTTCATTCTTTTCTCCTGGCTTGATTCGTCGTAGCCTGAGTCATTTTCGGTCAGCCAAGGCAAACTGCGCATTTCCTCAATTGACACGCGTACATCTGCAGGCCGCATAATTTGTTTAATCAAATACTTGCACTCATCACTGACACAACGGTCCTTCGGGAAGGTGGGTCCGGCAGATACTTGCTACAATGGAAAAAAATCAAAATCATACATATGCCCTTTTCAGCATAGTTGTCCCATTCGTTAAAACACCAAGCTGAGAAAAACGCAGTTGAAGATTTTTTTGTCCTTGGGCTTTTATGGATGGGACAACATAGTTTTGGAAATTTTCTAAACAAAGTAGGAAACTTTTCGTATAAATTGTAAAGTGATGGTACTTAACAATTGATTCCAATGTCCAAAATGTCCAATGCTAATGGGACCGTTATGCCGCACAGGGCAGTCAATGTACTACCAATTCGATTGAAACTTACCTTGATAAGAAAATTAACATTATTTACATTGGCAAAAGGCAGTTGACCAAAGACCATTGTGTAGAGCACTACCCCAGCTGCCCAAATGTCGGATAGCTGCGGCTGATATGGAATGGATTTCAGTATTTCCGGACTGGCATACGCATGGCTACCGCAAAAGGTCTTCGATAGGACTGGCTTCATTTTAGAACCGACCGCAACTGATTGCATGTTTCCTCTGGCAAACCCAAAGTCAATCAACTTAAGCGTAAAGCTTCCATCGAAGACAATGTTCTCACACTTGATGTCACGATGAACGACTCCCATACTGTGGATGTATTCCACGGCGTTGAGAAGTTGACTGAAATATGATCTGGCTCGCTCTTCTGCTAGATATTTTTCTTTGCGTATGAGTTGCAGCAAGGAACCTTTTTCAGCATACTGCATCACGATGTAATATCTGTAAATGGACAACATAAGATATAATAAAGGATTAGGTACGCCGTTTCTCAGTATACGATATAACCCCAAGTCCCATGACACTGAATAACATAAAACCATAACTTCGACGACTAATTGACCTTGATTTCCTTTCCATTCAAATAAGACAGTCATCAGCAGGGTTGAAAAAATCACCAGCATTCATTATGAAATGAATGTTTCATCCATAGTGAACTTTGATGAATTTTAGTTATTTTTTTTCAGCACTGATCATACGTTATACATACGGACGTTAGGCATAATGGACGTTAGGCATAAAGTCATTAGGCATAATGGACGTTAGGCATAATATACGTTAGGCATAATGGACGTTAGGCATAAAATACCTTGCTGCTGTGCAACTCTAGAAACCTGCTTAACCTGTAAACCTGTAAACAATGCTTAAATTAGGCTTAGCGTTGAATAAAAAATCATACAAGTTAAACAAACATAGTTTATTTAATAAGCACAGTTTGGAATCCATTATTTATCATATCATAAGTGACGTATCTACATATTTACTTAGATCCATGATTAGTAGCGATAGTGGTTAAGTAATCTTACAATGAAAACGCAGCTTAGTTTTGAACTATATCTTGAAATCAATCGCATCTAGAAATAAAAAAATCACACACTTGTTGTAATATATTCTTACACACATATTGCAAAAGTCAAAGAAGAAAAGGTTTTCCTCAAAGAACAGCTCATGAAACAAAGAATGGTGAATTCTGTGATTTTTCATTCAATAACAAAAAAACAGCCAAGGTTGAATAAAATATGATGCCAAAGAACAGCTCATGAAATCAAGAATGGTTAATTCTGTGGTTTTTCATTCAATAACAAAAAAACATAGCTGCTGCTTCCAGGATTTCCTGCCATACTTTTCGATACAACGATTCTGATTTTGTTGTCATCAGAATGAAAACTAGCGGAACCGTCTGCTGATGTGAGGGAGCGATACTTCCATGAACCAAGGTAGCAAAGACTCATTTCAGCTAAAACAATGTTTTTCTAAATTATGAAATAATTAGATGCCATGATAAAATTTTGAATTGGTAGGATACAAGAAGAGGTTGCAAAGAATGTGTTTGACATATTAAACCTGTTTATTTCACTTCATGAGAGTCAAAATCAGCGATTTTTCACAAACTCACTCACTCACTCACTCAGCGATCAGCAAATCGCTGATTGTGACTCGTAGAAAGCAAAATTTACAGGTTTTATGTTTCCAACGCATACTTTGTAACCTCTTCTTGTAAGTTACAAGTAAAACATGCCATCATACCATCTTTTGGTTTTATTATTCCGAAAAACATTATTTTAGCTGAAATGAGTCTTTGCAACCTTGCCATGAACAGTGACGAGTTGCCGAAACAAACAAGGAACTGTGGCAAACGTACCATCTGTAACCCAATACTTTGCCTGTCCAAGACGTCGTTCATGAGTTCCAAAAATTAAGGCTCTTTCATTATTGTCACCGAAGTCAGCAATCAATAGACGGTCTCCATTATCATCCTTCTGGAATTCATCCGGTAGATTATGCCTAACGTCCATTATGCCTAACGTCCATTATGCCTAACGTCCTTTATGCCCAACGTCCATTATGCCTATCGTACATTATGCCTAACGTCCGTATGCCTAACGTCCGTATGCCTAACGACCGTATGCCTAACGTCGTGCACCCACCGAAAAGGCCTTGCAAGAAAGCTGATGCCAGCAACCACACGGAAAGATTGCTTCAGAGTAATCCGTTCTCGGCACTCCCCGAAGAAGCAGATATAGATCCAGTTGAGAAACAGAAAAAAGTGCCCCCACTGTTCACCACGACGAAGGAACTCGCGTTGCTCAGGAATGAGCTGGCTAAAAATCAAATCCATCCGCTCTTCAAGCTGTGCAGCACGGGGATCAAAATCTTGTGCTCGACGCTGGCGGATTACAACGCTGTTGGCACTTTTCTTCAGCTGAACCGGTACACTCATGACGTCCCTGGGAGTAAACCACTGAAAATGGTGATCCGTTGTCTTCCAAATCTTCCTGTTGCGGAGATTAAAGCGGAATTGGAGCACCTTCATCTGCAACCAATCAACATTTTCCCATTGCGAGTGCACTTCAATAAGGACTCTACCAGTGTGGCTGCTCTGCGGCAGATTCGCGCGCTGTTCAACATCGTGATTTAGTGGGAGCAGTATCGCCCTCGGCACCGTGACGTGACACAGTGCACTAATTGTCTGGCATTTGGGCACGGTACGAAGAATTGCCACATGAAGGCTAGTTGTGGCAAATGTGCTGGGGCTCACAATACTACCCCCTGCCAGAAGAAAGGAGAAGCTGAACCTAAGTGCGTGAACTGTGATTCCAACCATCTGGGCAGCGATAGGAGATGTCCCAAGCGAGCGCCCTTCATCCAAATCCGACAACAAGCTTCCACGAGGAACCAACCTGGTCGACACCGCAATAATCGTGCTCCTATTGTCAACATGTACACGTTTCTAGTACTTCCGACTCGTCGTATGGTCCCGAACCTAGCACCGCTTCCACTGAACCAGCGCCCCCCGTTGCGAATCCAACATCAGATCAAGCGGGTCCCAGCCACCGTTCAGTTCAGAATCGCCTCACTGCCGCTGCGGCCCAGCCGAGCCATGGCTCTACTGCCCCGGGATTATCGTACGCCCGTGCTGTGTCAGGTGAGTCAGAAGACAATTCTCCACTCACAAGCGACGAACTAGTGATCCCCGTCACTGAGGTGATCATAATCTTGCGCACCACCAAGACACTACCTGAACAGCTTCGTGAAGTTATACCCCTCGTGCAAAAGTATGGACCGTGAAGTCATCAAAATAATGGAACGCTTGCTCGCTTAAGAACAAAATCATTGAGATCGTTGATTTCCTCAATGAACATAGCATTGACATCGCCGTCATCACCGAAACACACTTGAAGCCGGAGTTAAATGTTCACCTCCCCGATTTTCGGCTCGTAAGGCTAGACCGGACCAGCTCCTGCGGAGGAGGACTGGCTATCGCATTAAGGAGAAATATTGGCGGTCGGCTGCTACCGAGTTTCCAGCTGAATATGATCGAAGCGGTGGGTCTGAAAGTCTCCACTCCTGTCTGCCCTATAACCATCATTACGGCCTACTGTCCCAAACAAGTCACCATCAGATCAGGGACGGGTCGGCAGCAGATCTGCGGAGAGACATCATCAGGCTAACTCGACGCCGTGAGAAGTTCATCATCGCTGGCGACCTGAACGCCAAACACCAGACTTGGGACAACAGTCGACGCAACCAAAACGACACAATCCTGAACGACGACCTGCAAGAGGCTCACTACACCATAATAGCGCCGGACTCTACCACCCGCTTGAGCCGGTCTGGCGTACACTCCACCATCGACTTCTTCGTCAGCAACATGGGAGACAACATCTCGCAACCTGTGACCCACCACGAGCTGAGTTCGGACCACTATCCGGTGGTGGCCGATGTGGGCTCATCCGTCAACCGATTCCAAGCTCCCCGACGCAGCAACCATCGCGTCAGCTGGGATCAGTTCCAACAGTGTCGACTCCACTGTCCTTCCGGAGACGCCTGAAGACGTTGACCGGTGTCTGCGTTCCATCGAGGAGGCGATATTCCGGGCCAGGGAACAACACGTGCCAGTGTCCAGACAGGTGAGCAATACTCTATTCGAAAGCAATACCAGCGTTCTGGCTCTGGGATCCGCTCTCTCCTAGATTGTGCAAAACCCTTTTGGAAACTAATCAAAATCCTTAAAAATAAGCCAAGACCCATTCCACCACTGACCCCACTGGATAATCCCGGCGACTCAGTGATTCATCTGATAACTCCTGAAGAGAAGGCTGCCACGATAGGTCAACACTTCGTCAGCTTATTGGAGTGTATGGCGCAGCGAAATAAAACACCACCGATTAGGTAAAGAGAACAAATTCAACTGAAGTTTATTGCAGGTAGAGCACAAAAGATAATACAAAAAATGGCACGTGATGTTTATGTCTACACACGGCAGGGTTGCCATGCCATCACTCCTCCTCATCACGAGCTGATCGAAGACCAATCCTTTCTCGCAGCATCTCCAACTTTACACGATTTAACGGCTTGGTCAGGATATCCGCAAGCATATCTTCGGATGAACAGTAGGTAACATCAATTTGATTGTGTTCGAAAAGGTCCTTTACAAAATGGAATTTAGTATCTACGTGTTTCGAACGTTTTCCGCTGGGTTGGCTGAGTAGCTTGATGCAACTCTGGTTGTCCTCAAAGATGCATACAGGCTTTTCCATCGGTTCATCAAAATCTCGCATTAATTTCTGCAGCCACAGTAACTCCTGGCAGCATTCGGCCAGTGATATGTATTCCGCCTCGGTTGAAGATAGTGCCACACAAGGCTGCTTCCTTGCGCACCACGATGTAAGACCACCACCAAGGCGAAACAGGTATCCAGAGTTTGACTTCCTGTCAGCAACGTTTCCGGCCCAGTCGGCATCGGCATAACCTTCCAGTCCTCCAACTTTACCTCCCAGTTCCAGTTGCAGACCACTAGTTGCTTTCAGATAGCGTAGAGTCCTTTTTGCTTCTGTCCAGTCTGTAATCGTTGGTTTGCTGACGCAGCGTCCAAGTATTGAAGCGGTGATTCCAATGTCGGGTCGTGTATTGACGGATAGATAAAGCAGACCGCCAACAAGACTCTGATATTTATCATTAGTCGGTAGCCTTTCCGCCTCCTCCTTCTGCTGAACATATCCCGGATCCATTGGTATGCGCGATCCTTTAGCATCTTCCAATCCGAATCTTGCAGCCATCTTGTCGATGTAAATCTTCTGATTCAAACAGAATCCTTTCTCAGATTTGGTAACTTGAATCCCCAAGAATTTTTTCACATCTCCTAAGGTTGTCAACTGAAACTTGCTGCTCAACACATCCAGAATTTCTTCATACTCCTCCTGGCTGCACGTACTGATCAA